AGGAAAAAAGACAAAGAACTAACCCAACAAGAAAGCGATGCTCATAAGTAAGAGATTCTCTCGCACTGATACCGGAGTCCATCCATCAGCACTATCATGAACTTCCTCATTCTCAACGCCGAGCATTCGTGGCTGTGATGGGCCACAAATGTCCACATCGAGTATTGCAACCTAGATAAGCTTTGTTGCATTATTAGCTAGCTCAAACAAAATGAAAAGCATTAAATCACTTTGCCTCGGAAAAAAACTGTTCCTAATACATAATTTTTCATTCTTACCTGCTTCGACGGATCCGATGCGAGTGCGCGAGCTAAACAAGTGGTGACAGTACTTTTACCTACACCACCTTTTCCCGAAAGAATCAGAATCTGGAAGCTATCAATAACTCGAATTATACAATGCTGTACTGCACCGTCCTAAATAAAGCGCATACCTTGTGTTTGATGCCACTAAAGCGATCCTGAATCAATCTGATGTCCTCGTCAGGTTTTGGAGCTTGGCCAGTTGAACAAGAGCCCTGAAAATGGTTGTTTGAGTTTCCTCTAAAAGGTACTTTCATGTGATTTCTTGTTGGCCAAGAAACTCCTTTAGTCACCTAGAAGCGACAACATTTACATAGCAAATTCTCTAGATTTGTCAAATACTTCTGCGCTGTTTTAACAGAACTACAAAAAAGTACAGAGATGTTGTAAACCAAACAGCAAGGTTGCGTCAAACGCGGCAGTGCTTCAAAGACAGGCACTGTGAAGCAAGATTTTCATTTATAAATTAATAAAGATTTCATTTAGATCAAAAATGTAAAGAAGGAGCTTCAACGTGAACGTTTAACGTGAAGTGGATTTTGTCCCCTGAAATTGACCTGATTAGGACAACCGGCACAACCAGCGGCTTTTCCAGCCCCAGCACTGCCCACTCCTGGACATCCGACATTTGCATTTGTAGGTACGTCCGTCATAACTTCGTAAGCGCAAAATTCTGAAGGGAAGATCTTATATGACAGCAAGTAGTGAGTTAATAAAATGGGAGAACTACGAATATAACAACAGGTTGCACAGAAATGTCAAGAGACATCGCTAAAGAGTCAACGCTTGAATG